TCAACACAAGCAGACTCGGTCAGAGTTCGAGGAGTTGTACTTCCAGGTAAGGGCAGGGTTGAAAGCGAAGTTGCCATCCACCACTCCCTCACCCTCCCCTTCTACCTCCACTAATACACGTGTGGAGGCATGTGCTGGTGTACAACTACCAAAGATAAATTTGCCAGAATTTAAAGGGGAATTCGACAAATGGTTGCCTTTTTTCGACACTTTCAAGTCGCTGATCCAGTGTTCACTCGGCTGTCGACAAAAGCAGGCCACTCTCGATGTGTGCTACGCGATCGTCTGTTTTCTCGACAGCAACCATTGTGTGGTCCTCCTCATTGTTCTTCATCAGCAGTTCTTTCGGTCGATGCGTCGTCGACTTTGGAAAGCAACCGTTTCGTGATGAGTGTGTGAGTGCTGACCACGTTTTGTGTCCATTGCTGCAATGGACGCGCTCTGACCCTCGTTGGCATACAACAATTTGCCATACAATGAAACTACTGGAAGCGGCTCCAGTTCTGATGGAGGAGGCTTTTTGGATAGCGGAAGATAAAGTGTTTATTGTGTTGTACCTTTTGACTATAGTTTTAAGATGTATTGTATAGTGACCAAGAATCCTCGGCTCTGTAAAGTTAATTCGGTTGAGCCTTATCAATAAATTAATAAACAAAAAAAAAAAAAGTCGCTGATCCACACCAATCCAGATTTGAGCGGGATTCAGCGCTTTCATTACCTGCGAGCGTCTCTAAAGGGTGAGGCACTTAAGGTTGTTGATGCATTCCCAATGAGTGAAGCCAGCTACGGTGTTGCCTGGTCTGCTTTGACCAAACGTTATTCGAACGTTTATCTACAGAAGAAACGGCACGTCAACGCTCTTCTACAGTTTCCGAAGATGAAGAAAATTTCTGCAAGTGGGATCCATGATGTTATCGATACTTTCGACCGGCACACAAAAATCTTGGATCAATTAGGGGAAGTGACTGCAGGCTGGGGAGCGATGCTGACACAGCTATTAGTATCGAAGCTAGACGACGTTACGCAGAAAGACTGGGAAGAGTACGCTTTGAAAAAGGAGGATCCTGTATTTTTGCACGTGATGGAGTTTCTGGAAGGCCAAACCCGCATTTTGGATGCAATAGCGGTTGATCAACGTCCCGATGGCCAACGTATTCTACTATCCAGTCCACTCGCCCCGTTCAAGAAGCCAGCTCATAAGTTATCGGTTCACGTATCATCGGAGACTTCGTCGTCGAAGTGCGTATCCTGTGGCGGTTCGCATTATATCACCAACTGCCCTTCTTTTGCGAAGCTGACTCTGGATAAGCGGCTCCAGGTCGTAAATTCCAAGAAGCTGTGCAGCAATTGTCTTCGGCGTGACCATTACAGTAGAGATTGCACATCTACTTTCCGCTGTCGTACGTGTAGCAAAAAACACCATACTTTGCTCCATCCGGGATTAGCGGCAACTAGTACTGGGTCAGCGGTCAGAGATCAAGTCCTTGAAGAATCGCAAACGGGTGGTTCCAGCATTTCTACGGCAGTTGCAGTTGGGACTCCACAACAATCCCTTCAAAGTTCTGTAACTTCAATCTACGCAGCTAATGTTGTATCAGAGCTACGCGATGTACATGTGTTTCTGTCGACAGTTCTAGTGTCGGTGAAAGATTGTAACGGGCGTTTGCACACGGCGAGAGCATTTCTTGATAGCGGATCGCAGGCGAATCTTATCTCAGAAAGGCTGTGTCAGGTCTTGAAGCTACCAAGGAAAGGCACTAGCGTGCCAATATCAGGAGTCGGTAGCGCGCGGATTCAGATAAACAGGTCTGTGTCTGCAACTATAATTTCGCGTATAACGGACTATGAGGTTCCGATGAGTTTCTTGGTGCTGAAGAAGGTGACGGATGATCAGCCATCGACGACTATTCCGATCGGTAGTTGGAATCTCCCCTCTGATATGGTCCTGGCGGACCCAGGTTTCAACAAACAGGCTCCAATAGACATTCTACTGGGTTTGGAGTATTTCTACGAGTTCCTGTTATTGTATGGAGGCCGGGTCCAAATTCAGCGGATAGGTGGGGGTCTACCGCTCTTCGTTAATACCATATTTGGGTGGATAGCAGCTGGCCAGGCGGATTTGGGGAGTCTGAGCCCAGTTCCATGCTGCCACGTGTCGGTTGACCCAACTCTAGGTGAGAAGATCGAACGGTTTTGGAAAATTGAAGAGTTGCCAGATGTACCACTGCGGACCAAAGGAGAGCAGGATTGCGAGGAGTACTTTGAAGCTACTTTCTCTAGAGATGCCACGGGGAGGTACGTTGTGCATCTGCCAAAACGAATGGGATTTGAGCGGATGGTCGGTGAATCAAAGGATATGGCTATGCGAAGACTGGTGCAACTAGAACGGCGGTAGGACAAGAACGAAAAATTGCGCAGGCGTTACAACGAGGCGATGCAGATGTATTCAGACCAGAAACATATGGTGATGGTACCGGAGGAGGAGCTAAAGCGTGACAAACGGCTCTCTTGTTACCTGCCTCATCATCCGGTAATCAAAGAGTCGAGTGCGACCACGAAAGTTCGGCCAGTTTTCGACGGTTCGGCTAAAACAACATCCAACTACTCTCTGAATGATGCTTTGATGACGGGTCCAATGATTCAGGATCCCTTGTTCGATCTGGTTCTGCGATTCCGCAAGTACTTTATCGCTTTAGTTGGTGACATTGAGAAGATGTACCTGCAGGTGAAGGTACATTTTGATGACGCTGCTCTTCTGCGGATTTTGTGGAGATTTTCGTCAACGAGCCCATAGCAACTTACGAGATGTCCAGGGTCACGTTTGGTTTGGCGCCATCATCGTTTCTTGCAACGAGGTGTTTGCAGCAGCTAGCGCACGACGAAGGTAGTTAGTTTCTACGAGCGAAAGCGGCGCTCTTGAATGATTTCTACATTGATGATTTTATTGGAGGGGAAGACTCAGAAAGCGAAGCTATATTGTTGCGGCAAGAGTTAGAGCAGTTGATGTCTAAATGGGTCAGCAACGCCAAGAGTGTGTTGGCGGGTCTAGCCGCAGATGAATTGGGAACTCAATCCTCACTGAATTTCGACCAGGAACTGGTGAAAACCCTAGGAATTCACTGGCAACCAGGGCCAGATTTGTTGGGTGTAGACGTATCGGGTCTCGCTGTAAACGGACAGTGGACAAGGCGCAAGGTTTACTCCGTCATTGCTCAACTATGGGATCCTTGCGATTTCACGGCTCCAGTCATCTCGTGGGCAAAGATTTACATGCAGCTATTGTTGGTAGCCTCTCAAGGTTGGGACGATCCATTGTCGTAGGACTTAGCTAGTCGCTGGACGGATTTTTATCAGCAGCTGCCCAAATTCTCGGATATCAAAGTGGACCGGCACGCATTCACTAATCATCCAATTCTGATCCAATTTCACGTCTTCTCGGATGCGTCCGAAGCAGCTTACGGCGCGTGTATCTACGGTAGATCCATCAGCCAACTGGGGCAGATAAAGGTGGAACTCTTGGCGGCAAAATCTCGTCCAGCTAGTTTGAAGAAGACTACTCTCGCAAGGTTAAAGTTATGCGGTGCCTTCATAGCAGCAAAACTATATCGTTCAACCGTCAAGGCACTCGGGATTAATGGAACCGAAACTTGGTCTGGTCAGATTCGACAGTTGTGCTATCGTGGTTGAAGCGGCCATCGTACGTGTGGCCAACATTTGTTGCGAATCGTGTTTCGCATATTCAGGAGCTAACGAAAGGTCACCGATGGAACCATGTCAAGGGCACGGAGAATTCAGCCGATCTTGTGTCTCGGGGAGTAATGCCAAAGGATCTCGTCGATATGCAGCACTGGTTCCATGGGCCACCCTGGTTATCCTTGCTTGATCAACATTGGAATACCGAACAAAACTTGAAGTACGAGGAACCATCGGAGGAGTTGCTGGAGAAAAAGAAGAACATTTTTGTGGCGGTGGGTTGTCCACAACCTCACCCACTTTTGGATAATTCCTAATGCTATTGGAAACTTTTGCGGATTACGGCGTACTGCATAAAATTCATCCGTAACTGCCGTAAATCATCTACAAAAACTCGGAATGTCAGCGTGAAGGAGCTGCAGGCGGCCGAGTACGCATTGGTACGGTGCGTTCAGCGGGAGCCATTCGCTACGGAGATCAAAACCCTCGCCAACCATCGACCCGTTCCTGCTCACTCACCCTTGAAGCTACTCCATCCGTTCCTAGATCAACAAGGCATAATTCGCGTTGGTGGCCGGCTAAATCTCACCGATGAATCATACGCCGTCCGACACCCCATGATTATCCCTAGTAACCACTCTTTCTCGTGGCAGGTTGCGTTCGCATACCATAACCTGTCGCTCCATTCTGGCCCCCGAATGACGCTCGCTCAAATACGGCAAGAATTTTGGCCCCTACGGGGTAATTCACTGGCAACTTATGCTTTCCGAAACTGCATTCGCTGCTTTCGAAGCAACCCTGTCCCTATATCCCAACCACCTGGTCAACTCCCAAAACCTCGTACAACTCCTACTCGTGCATTTGCGGTCACTGGTGTGGATTATTGTGGTCCCGTCTACCTAAAGCCCGCACATCGTCGAGCAGCTGCGCTAAAAGCCTACATCGCAGTTTTCGTGTGTTTTAGCACGAAAGCGGTCCATCTCGAGCTGGTAGGGGACCTCACCACGGCTGCTTTCATGGCGGCTCTGCGACGATTTGTATCCCGTCGAGGGTTACCTACTGAGATCCACTCGGACAATGGTCTGAACTTCCAAGGGGCTAGCAACCATCTACGAGAGCTTTACGACCTTCTATCCGGTCCAGTTGCAACCTCAGAAATCGCTAATGAAACTTCTAAGCGTGGCATCGTTTGGAAATTTATCCCACCAAGAGCACCAAACTTTGGTGGCCTTTGGGAAGCCGCCGTGAAATCTGCCAAGACGTCATTGCTCCGAGTCTTGGACCAACGAAAATTGTCGTTCGAAGACATGACCACCATCCTCACCCAGATAGAAGCGGCCATGAATTCTCGTCCGCTTACGCCACTGTCGGAAGATCCTGATGAGCTAGACGTGCTCACTCCCGGACATTTTTTGACTGGCTCATCGTTGCTGGCGATTCCCGATCTGGACTACACGGAGGTTCCTACGAACCGGTTACAGCACTACCAGGAACTGCTACAACTAGTACAGCAGCATTGGAAGCGATGGAGGCGAGAGTACATCTCACACCTGCACAACCAGAATCAACGATTCCCTCAAGCAACCCTGCTGAAGGTGGGTCAAATGGTGGTCCTGAAGGAGGATGGATCCGCAGCCATCGAGTGGCCTCTAGCTCGATTCATTGAAGTCTATCCCGGTCCCGACGGTGTAATCAGGGTAGTGAAGGTACGCACACCGAACGGTGCCATCTATAAACGACAGGCGTCACGTATCTGTTTGCTGCCATTCGAGAAGGCCTTGACTGGGAAGCCCACCAACACCTGCTATTCTCAACCGTCAGGTGCAACCCCGAAGGATGTAAACGCTGCAAGCCCGGAAAGCGCAACGTAGTTCCTCAGAAGAATACAGTATCATATTGTGAAACTTCCAGCATCTTTAATCTTAAGCAGCTTAGTTAAGATTTTTGAATTCATAAATCCCTTAACATAATTTAGGTGGCCGGCATGTTAGGTACATTACAAAAAACCTTCAGATGCGTTCCTTCCGAGTGCTCCCCGTGTAGCATAACTTCTCTTGCTTTCGGTTGCCTCTCTTGGATGTCTACACGAGAAAGCTATTGATACTGAATTGTAACGCTTCTCGATTGGATACACACATTTTGTAGTTTTTTGTTGATATGTTTTTTGCCTAAGTCAGTACCAATAAAACGCCAAGTCGATCGGTCACCGTTGTCGCAAAATTAGAAAAATACAGTTTACATTTTTGTTGCAATAAAGCCTCTCTTTTCTTTTTACATTTTGATCGCGAGTGTTTTCTTTTCAATAACGTTTCTCGACAATTCCACGGCCATAAGCGAGACTTTATAACGAAGTCCGAAACAGAAGTTTGCAGCAAAACGGGTGTCCAAGGTGCGTTTTTGAAGGGTCCGAACACTGCTATTTACAAATTGCTTATCAAAGCATGTTCTGATAAAATACATTTTTGTGCGAATTTAGTCTTAATTTCGTTAATTATGGAATCTATTTTGGCAATGCCTGCCTCTTCGTGTAAATTTGTTATTCTAGTGTCGAAAGGACGATCAAGTACCATCCTCAGCACTCTATTCTGAGCGACTTGAATTTTGTTCCTGTGATGATTCCCACACCGGAGCTGCGTAGAGGATCGCAGGTGCTACTATTTGTTTGTAGACAGCCAGTTTGTTCACCCTTGAGAGGCGGGATCTACGGCAAATCAGCGGATACAGACACCTAATCAAGGCGGAACACTTGACTGCAGTTTTCTCTAAATGCGAACGGAAGAGGAGCTTTTCATCAAACAACATCCCGAGATAGGTTACTTCGGCAGACCACTCAACCCTTGTGCCATCCATGATTACAGTACAAGATGGAGTCGGTTTTAGTTTGGGCGATTGCCGATAGAGGAACATGATCGCTTGTGTTTTGGAGGCATTGATTTTGATTTTCCACGTGGTGGCATAATTAGCCAAGGCGTCAAGACATCGTTGGAGCTTGTTTGTTATTTCGCGAGGCATCCTACCCTTGACGGTTATTGCGGTATCATCTGCGAACAGGGAAAACACGCATCCGTCTCCGAGAGGAGGAATGTCGGAAGTTTAAATGCTGTAAAGCAAAGGGCCCAGCAGACTGCCTTACGGGACTCCTGCTGGGATGGAAAACGTGTCTGAAAGGCAACCATTCAATTATACCTTAAACGACCTTTGCTGGAGGTAGTTACGGGTGATTTTAACCAGATGTAAAGGAAAGTTGAAGTTACGACGAACAGCAAAATACGGTGGGAAAGTCACGGGCCCGGAAACTGTACACCCAGATGCTGACGAAGCCTCATTGTCTCATCATGAATGATGAGACTTACGTCAAGGTGGACTTCCGGCAGCTTCCGGGGCTACTGTTCTTCACCGCCCAGCACAAGTTTGATGTTCCGGAGGTAGTAAGGAAGCAGAAACTTTCAAAGTTTACCAAGAAATCCATCCAAAGCAATCTGCTCATGTGGTAAATGGAGTGCTCCGTTCGTGACTACCGGGACTGTAAACGGGGAGATCTACTTCAAGGAGTGTCTACAGAAGCGTCTGCTTCCTCTGTTGAAGCAACACGAGGGCCCTACGATGTTCTGGCCGGATCTAGCTTCGTGCCACTATTCAAATGTTGCCCTGGAGGAGTACAAAGCAAACGGGGTCACTTTCGTACCCCAGGACATGAACCCCCCCCCCCCATCGCACCGGTACAAAGGCCCATCGAAAAACACTGGGCTATTATGAAGCAGGCACTATGGAAGCATCCCACAGAGGTCAAATCTGACAAAGACAAAAGTGGGCTTCCATACAGAAGAAGCTGCAGTCAGATGTTGTACAGAACCTAATGAGTAAAGTTAAGCGTAAGGTGCGGGCGTGCGGTTATGGTATGAAGTTGAATGAAATACTATAAATATGTCAAAATCTTACTAATGGTTTATATTTTATTGTCTGAAAGTTTGAAAAGAATCGGTCAACTAGGTAATTTTCTACAGCGTTTTTTTCCGTGATGCAATTTAATGTGGGACACCCTTTAGGTATAGCGGTAACCACTTCAGTCGCCCCTCATTCAAAACTCATATCAAAGAGAAATCAGACAGCTTTAATTAGCACCAAAGCGAAACTCTCCCATTTTGTTGAACAGGTCCCAAGCCATGCGATACAATCTCCATCTCCGAATAAATCAACTTCATAATTGCGGTCATTATATGCAAATTAATTATTATAAATATTTTTTTTCTAGAGTGTTACCATACATTAGCTTTCCACTAAAAAAAAGCAAGAAACCTTTCCACTTCTTTCCACGCTCTGCTTTGATATCAAATTCCTAGCTCCGCAAACACGTTGTTCTCCCATGATTTGCAATCACTGTATGATGTTGATGTTTTTTGCCACCCCCTCCCCTAACCCGGCAAGCATATATGGAAGTCACCATCAGCATCAGCCCCCATAGGCGAGTACACGAGAGAGGTGGAGTCAACCGAACACCATTCACGGCGGAGGGACTGCTAATTATCACGTAATTAATGTTACCTCACAACAACAGCACACTTCAAGCGCCTAGCAGCAAATGGCGAGCGAAAAGTGGAGGTTCGCGGAAGGCAAAAACTTGCGACTTGTAAATTGCAGGCGTAACATCATTCGCCAGAATCAATCTTGACGTAAATCCAATGTGGGCTCAGGAACGATGAAATTGCAGCAATGGTGATTTACTTATTCAAATACAAGTTGAAACACATAACAAAAAAACTCTCCATTTGCAACTTGCTTCGTTCGTAAATTAATTATTCACCCGAAAGAGAGTCACAAGAAAGGTAAATAACACAAAGACAATTTGTCAGTGCTTTAATAAACATTTCAAAGTTTACTGCATAGGAAACATACACGGGAACTAGATTGCGGGTGGCTAATTGATCAATATTTCAGTAGCTTGCGCGGAAACTAAGCTGGGAGCAAAAACCCATTTCAATTAATGACTTTGACACGTCTGCGAACGGTCTGCATGGTGAGTTGCTTTAGGTTAGTTAAATACAACCGAGTTGGTACAGGCGGCCATTTTCCACACGTTCAACCCTATGCTTCGAGGGAGTTCACATTTGTTAAACTGGAGGGGTTGATTCACAGCAGCGTGTGTATCAAATTTCACGTAGCTATTTTTTTCTTTTGCTTTGATTAGGAAAAGGAAAAGAATGGGTTCAAAGACTACAAGATATTGTATTTTTCCTTTTGAGTAAGCAGTGTTTATATTGTGCGAACCATTTGAAGGGTTTCCGTTTCGTGGAAAATGGCTCACACTGACTGAAGGTTTGCCTTGAAAATGTTGAAAAGACAAATTAAAAACATTTGTGTATTTTACTTTATTTTCAAATTAGGAAGAGGAATCAAAATCTTTTAGATACTGTCGACGTAGTTTCCGGATAGCCCCTTATTGCAAATTGTCGTCCCCAACTCTGAAAACAAAACGTAATATTGTAACCGTTTAGTTAAAATGTCCTAGGTTTTAATTTGATCATGTTGTTTTAGGAAAATGTAGGGTTTATTAGTGTCCGTGTTGGGTTGGTAGGATCAGTGTGATTGTGGTAAAATTGCTGTAAATTGAAACATGTATAAGCTTGTGTTATTAGGATTAGATTGAATTTTTTTATAAACTTAATTGAGCGAGACAGGATCGAAAGGGTGTTGTGATCAACTGTGAAGTCTACAGGCTTTATACTTGAAGACATACTTCAAGTCTCCGCGTACATCGTACGGGTTAGGCAAAAAATGTGCGTCTTACTTTAAAAACTGTCGCATTAATGGCCCTTCGCTCATTTTCAACTTCTATTCAATTTTCATACTGCTGTACTCTAACGGATCTATCCACCTACCCTCTTCTAAAGATCATTCTCTAGCTAATAAATCATCACACTAAAGCTTCATGTTAGCATTTCCAACCAACTCCAAGCAAAGATTGTTAATTTTGAGTTTGACACATAATACCTGCCAATTTTGCTACATGAGAGTCGCCTCTTCGCGAAGAGGCGATCAAAAAAACGCTCATTGTGACTCTGTCAAAGCTAAATTCGCAGGTTTGATGTGCGAAACACAAACTTTACAATCTTTTCTCATTACTAACACATTCAAAATATAATCAAAATATCTTATTATTCCATAATTTCATAAAACATTTTTTTAGTCAAAATGAATGGAAGGCACCCTGCGTGCTAGTATCCAGACAGGTGAGAAATACCCTGAACCTTGACAAATCTACCAAAGTCCTTATAAGACTCCGTAACACCATCCGAAGGCAGTACCAACGCTCTGGTCTGCCTGTCCTTAAGACCCACTGTAATCGCCTAACAAAAACCATCCAAGCCAGGATGGTGGACCTCAGAAACCAGGACTTTGCTAACAGGATCCGATCTCTCCCAGATTGTGCAAAGCCCTTTTGGAAACTAACCAAAATTCGTAAAAATAAGCCAAGACCCATTCCACCACTGACCCCACTGGATTGTTATGGCAACCCAGTGCAGTGGTTCATCTGATAAACCCTGAAGCGAAGGCTGCCACGATAGTTCAACACTTCGTCAGCTCCCATAATCTCGGACAAAACTTCGTCAGCCCTCATGAATCTGAGGTTGCTGAAAATGCAACCAATCTTCATCAGATTCCTAACATTTTTCGAGAGGAATCCGATATTACGGCTGACGAACTGTTGGCCTATATCAAATCATCTAAAAACATGAAGGCCCCAGGTTTCGAAAACATCCTGAATCTGGAACTCAAACACTTGAGTTCCAGATTCTACAACCATCTGGCACTGATTTTTAATCAGTGCCTCAGACTGGGCTACTTCCCCTCGTGTTGGAAGTCAGCTAAAGTA